CCCTTAAACATACCTGCCCATCTTCAGCCAAGGTCCTTGTCTTGTTACACTGTGGAAATTCCGACAGATCTGGAGACATTTGTAAAGAACATCATCAAAGTTTTGAGCCTGTGACAGATCAAAGGAACATGGAAAATTTCAATAATTCAGAGGTCCGTCAGCCCAAGACACTTGATACTTATTGACTGGCTGTGTTGCCTTAGTATGTCTAGTATGTAAATGGACCCTAAAATGGTAATGCTGTTAGTCGTTAGTGGGTAAGTGTGCACACATCAGGGGAGTCTTTCAGGAAGCCGTCTCTAATTTCTTGTTTACTCTGCAACCCTCACCATCTGCTGAATATGTATCTGAGAATCCCGTAGCTCCGTTGCAGTGTTCTGCTCTGCCCAGTGGGATGGGAGCCCTGAGGCGGTTTCTCTGTCTAACACACTTAACTCCAGCCAGAGCTGGCTGGAAATTTCAGAGCTCTTTCTAATGGCTGAATCAGTGCTGTTGATGTAGTAAGTTGGGGGGGTGCCTGGTAGGGCAGTCTCCTAATAGTCACTGGTGAGCTGCAGGGCTTAGGCTGGGGAGCACCTGTTTCTTTTGGCGTAACCCAGTCATTGTGAGTGTATTTAGAATGCCTTTTGGGGTACTTGAATCCACACTTAACCTTTTGCTTTTTGCTGCTGTGTGTGTTACCAGGTTGCCAAGTGTACGACTTTGGAGATCTGAGTTTCACTCAAGTGCCCAATGACGAGCTGTACAACAACCTGGTCAAATACCCACGCTCTGTGGGATTAGCCAGCCAGGTGCTGGCTGACGCTGTGAGCGGAGCAGTGGCTGCTGGACATAGCTGTGTAACTATGGGAGGTGACCATAGGTGAGTCAATAGGTGGCGCAATGCTCTGGGCGGCAGGGCTGCAAGCTCTTGCCAAGCAGCGCAGCTGCAGAGCTGGGGCCTGACCCGGTGCTCTGTGCTGCGTGGTGGCATGGCTGGCTCCAGCTGGGTGACGTGGCTGCCTGTCCTGGTTATCTGGGTGATGCAGCTGTAGTGCTGCCAGCCACCGGTGCTCCAGGCAGTGCGGTAAGGGGGCAGGGAGTGTGAGGGTTGGATAGAGGGCAGGGGAGTTTGGGGGTGGTGTGGTCAGAGGGCAGGGAATGGGGATTGAATGGGGGCAGGGATCCCCAGGGGGCAGTCAGGAAGGAGAGGGGGGTTGGATGGGGCGGTGGAGGGTCCGGGGGCTGTCGGGGACAGGGAACGGGGGGTGGATGGGGCAGGAGTCCCGGGGGGCGGGCCGTCGGGGGTGAGAAGCAGGGGGAGGCGGATAGGGAGCGAGGCCGGGTCACACCTGGCTGTTTGGGGAGGCACGGCCCCCCCTACCCGGCCCTCCATACAATTTTGGAAACCAGATGCAGCCCTCAGGCCAAAAAGTTTGCCCGCCCCTAGTGTATCCTCTTTCCCCTCCTCCAAATATCCCATTCCTCTTCTGTCTCCGCCCCCAGACTGGGAACAGCAGGGAGGCGGTGGACTGTGGTGAAATGAGGCAAAATGACTGGAGCCAACAATAGGGAGGCAGCAGAGAGTTCGGTTGGTGACTGTGCAAGATGAGCCTGCTAGGTGGGGGTGAGATGGGTTCTGTTGATGCTAATCTGGACCTGGGGCAGGTGAAGGCTAGGGCTCTTGGTAAGAAAGCAAAGCCCTGCCCCCATATCCCAGTACTAGTATACTCCTGCAGAGTTTTATGAAAGGTAGCCCAGTCTCCTGTGGGCTAATGCAGAATCATGATGCATAGTGATACACGTCACACCGATGTTCGTGTGGTGATGGCAGGTCTCACTGGGATGAGCTGCTGCAATGCAAATACTGGACATTTGAAATGTGGCAACCTCGCTTATCATAGCCCCTGGAATTGTTCAGTAGGACATACGTTTTTTATGTACTTTTTCAGCTTGGCGCTTGGTTCCATCAGTGGCCACACACGGCAGTGCCCTCACCTCTGTGTGATCTGGGTGGATGCACATGCGGATATCAACACCCCTCTCACAACTCAATCTGGAAACCTCCATGGACAGCCAGTCTCATTTCTGTTACGAGAGCTCCAGGATAAAGTAAGTGGCTCTAGGTTTTGTTGGGGGTGGGGGGAGGTGACTGTAAAGCACACTGTTTAATTTCAATTATGGTGAAAGGTGCTGGCTTATCTGCCCCTGAGGCTGATCTCCCTTTTATCCCCTAGATAAGATAGTTACAGGCATCCTATGTCTATAATCTGCTAGTGCTGAGAGAGACATTCCTTATTCAGCTCTTGGCCTCTTTGTAGATACTGCCACCTAGGGGCACTTACTGCCGAGGTACTAGTGGATTTTGTAATGGACACGTCTGCTAGGAACTGGACGGAGAGCATCAGCCCATGTCACATAAGTTGCTTGATCTAGATTTGAAGTTGGAGGTGAGAGGCTTCATGTCCCATTGCCACTCAGTCTCCTGTGCTAAAACAGACCTAATGCATCAGCAAAGGCTCCAGACCAGCAACTGGACAGCGTGTGGAACCTGCATATTCTTGTAGCCAATACACGGAGACTGTTGTAGTGCGCAGGCAGCAGTTCTGCCGGGTGAGCCAAAAAGGGAGCCTCCCCTGTCTGAGCCTGTAGGAGCTGTGCCATGCTCATCCCTGGCTGATGACCGTTATCTTTAAAGGCACAAGAAGAGTGGCCTGCTTCTGCAGCAGTCAGAAAAGAGGCTTGATATTGGTACACCTAGGGCATTTAATAACCACTCTGCCTCAACTGCAGCCTGGAAGCCCTGGTACAAGTTCCTATAGCATACTGTAGGAGCTGCCATGGTAACCAGTACAGTGTCTGTGGCATCTGCAGCAGGGACCTAGTTAGAAGTGAGCATGTCTGCTTCAGCCTAGGCTCCAGTTTAGAGAATGGGAGGTCACCACCTGCAGGTTGAGAATGGCAGCTGGAAATGCAGTACATCTGGCTCTCTTCACATATCCTACTTTGTCAGTATGCGTATTCAGCATGTACTGGGTACCTGCTGCTTATGCATCAGGATGTTCCTAAAGGAAGGATTTGACTGTTTGAAACAAGTGTTCAGTGCGGCATTACACACAATGGGAAGGAAATTATGCAGCCAAACCACCCGAGCTGAACTCCCAGCAGATCCTGCAAGCTAAACTAGCTCTACTTGTGCACTGGAAACCTCTATGGAGCATCAATTAAGGTGGAAGTGGGCTTGTTAGCACTGACCCCCCCCCCACCCACACACACACTTGGTAAGGAAACTCCCATCTTTTCATGTGCAGTGTATTTATACCTCCCTACTGTATGTTCCACTCCATGCATCTGATGAAGTGGGTTTTAGCCCACAAAAGATTATGCCCAAATAAATTTGTTAGTCTCTAACATGCCACACAGACTCCTCGTTGTTTTTATATAATCATTGTTAATCAGTAGCGCCTTGTAAGTGAAAGTTCAGTGGCTTGGCCTGACCTGTAGCGGGCTTGGCTGTACATCTGAATTACCAGAGAAGGGATTATGCATGAACAGATCTTTTATTTGTACTTGTTTAATAGATAAACTGTACTGATAGCTGGGAGAGGAGAGCTTACCTCTCCTTCCTAACTCTCCTTCCTAGGTCCCCCTTCACTCAGACCTATCACCCAGAAGCATGAAGAATATTCTGGTTCTACTCTTCTAGCTGTATTACTACACAGCCTTTTCAAAGTGCTGTACAAAAACAGACTAGTCCCCGTCTGCCCTTTAAACTAGGTAGTAATGTCTTACACATGCTGTCTTGCCCAAGGTCACACCATCATAGTTGCAGAGGATTCCTAGCTTCCAATCCTGGGTGTAGTCTATTAGGTCACTGACTTAGTGATGTCAGCGATCATGACTGAGCGTGAGCTGTATGTTTGGCTCCTCACAGGCTGCCTTTCCATGAACACCCTCTCCCAGTGAGAGGCTGGTGCTTGTACTTTGCTCAGGGTGGAATCTGCAGTTCACCCCCCTCTTAGACTGGGTCTCCAGATCGCTGCACTCCTGTTTACCAGCAGGTCCAAGTTGGGTTTGATCCCTGCTCTAAACTTTCTGTGATCAGTATAAAAAAATGGATGGACACTGAACAGCCTCTTCAAAGTACATATCCATAGGACCATGAGAGGAAAAGGGTTAAAACAGACCTATATGTATATTGTCTTCCCTAAACTTTAGCCTTTCCTTGCACGTTCAGGCACCTCCACCACCACTGAAATTGGGCAAGACAGTCTGCACCCCCTGCAGCCTGTCTTACTCTGAACCTCAGTGGCCTACCCTCTAAGTTCACAGGTTATCTTTTTATCCGTTTTCAAGTTGCTTTGTCTGTCCTGGGCCTCTGGCTTATGCAGTTCACTGAAGGTGGGTCAGAGATGGACTTCTAGCAGTGGATTCACTGTATTATCCATTAAAGATCAGCAGTTTGTTAGTCATTGTCTGCTTTCCTGGAAATGTGTAAAACCACTCTGCCCCCCATAAAGCAGACAGCATATTCATCACCTAGAACATGCTGTTTATAAGAAGAGATTTCCCACGTTCTTCACATCAGCCTTTGCCAGTTATTTACAGAGGAAAAACTTTGCTGTTGCTACTTCTGCAGCCCATCCACATAAGTTCCACTGCAGGCGCTACAAATTCAATGTTACCCTTATTTGTCCGTCCGTCCAGGTGAAAGTGCTGTCGATGAATTAGTCCCATATTTTGAGTCAGAGCTGAGATTCAATTCCATCTGTCATTGCACTGTTGAGACACTGTACACTAATCACTAACTGTGATAGGAGGTGGGAAAACTTTGGGGACAGACAGTGGGCTGGAACTTGAGAGATTTGAGTTAATTTCTCAGAATCCTGGCATGCCCTTAAGTTACTTTCTCTGTATGCCTTAGTTCTCATCTGTGAAATAGAATTAACACTTCCCTGCTGCACAGGAGGATAAATTCACTAATGGTTGAGGTGCTCAGTTACTATGGTGAGAGCTATAACAGAACCTAGTTTCCAATCAGTAAAATGGGGATAATGTTGATCCCCCTTTGCAACGTATTTGCATCCTTGTATGAAAGGTGCAAAGGAGTAGCCATTTTCAGCCCCCTGTAGTACAAAGGCCTTGCCAATGTGCTATTCTCACTCAATGGAAGGGTTTACCAGAACTGGATGAGGGAATCTCATTATTGACACAATTGCTTTATCAGTGAAGTTGACCCTAGTTGGACCTCTCCTCTATAGGCACTTGCTGCCACAGTTTTACTCCCTAGGAAGTCTGCTTTCTAGCTCAACTTCCATTAATGTGAGGTAGCCCCTTTTACCAAAGGCATTTCATAGCATGCAACTTCTGGGGGGGTTTCCACACTGTTGAGCTGATTCTACCTTAATGGTACAGTCTCATGTAAATAGTTATGACCTTGTAGTGCCTCTTGTGCATAGATCTAAGTGCCTTAAAGGTACCTTTTATCAAGCACTTGTACCCATCTGTGAAATGGGTATAACTGAGCGAGAAAGGTTGTGACATGATCAATGATAGAGCAAGTTATTGTTAAAGCAGGACTAGAACCAGCCCCCCTATTCTCTCAGGTTATATGCTTTCCCTACACTGCTAGGCAGCCAGCAGCCTAAGACACTACTAGGTACTTCATTTTTTTTTTTATGTTCCTTAAATGCTGCTGTTTGTTTTAGAACAAATAGTATGAAAGGGGCAACGTTGAGATTGTTAGGAAATCTTGATTTAGCCCTGTTCCCAATCTATTAGACCTTGCTTTTCTGTCCCCAGGAGGATTTCACTCTGGGAGGAGAGAGGGTAGCATGAGGAAGTGAGTGTCAAAACTTTAACAAGTCCCTAAAATTATTTCCGTCGTGAACTGGAAGCTTGTTAAACAGCTGCCACTAGAAGTCGCTTCATAGCTATATACCACCATTCTCTGCTTGCAGATGCCGCTGCTTCCTGGCTTTTCCTGGCTAAAGCCCTGCCTCTCAACATCTGATATTGTCTACATTGGTCTGAGGGATGTGGATCCTGCTGAACAGTAAGTGCAAGACCGCTGTGGGGGGGGAGGGCTTTTTCTTACTGGTGAAGTCTGAGCTGCATGTTCGCTTGTGCTAGTGCTACATATTTAAATGGCGTGGGCTGGTGGTGAGGGGTGTAAGGTTTAAAGTACTAAACGTTTTAGCCAAAAGCAAGGAAACGTTTTTAAAAATTTTCTTTTAACAGCTATATTTTGAAGAACTATGACATTCAATATTACTCAATGAGAGATATTGATCGCCTTGGAATCCAGAAAGTTATGGAAAGGACATTTGAACAATTAATGAGCAGGTAAGTTGTCACTGAGGAGGAACAGAAGCTGCTTGTGTCGGACAAAACATAAGTTCCTGAATTGTAAGCTGTTAAGGTGTTAGAGAATAGCCCATGCAAGTCTGAAGTATTACTTTCCACACCACCATACTCATCTTTCTCTGCTTTCTGTATATGATTTAAAAGGAAAAAAGTGCTCAGTTACTGCTGGTGAAATGTAGCTGAGTGCCAGTCCTATCCACAGCATAAGCACAGCACATCTAGCAGCTGTGCAGACTTCAAGACTGAAGTCCAGTCTGTTGATTTTAATCCTTGGGCTCTTTGCTGGCATTGCAATGAAACTACTTCACACTGGGTCAGGAACAGCCCTACTGTAACTGTTAGCTGCTACAAATGTGAGATGGACTCAAGTGCCTCCTTCACCCACATCTTGAAGAATCTGGAACCTGGCTATTAGTTTGAGGAAAAGGTTAAGTCTGCACCATTTGATGCAGCTCAGACATATAGTAACCATAGAGTTTAGGTAGCTCATAAAACCACCACTCTGGTTCTGAATCTCCATGGGCACAGAATCTCACTCTTCCTTGAAGTTATTTTTTAAGCCCTTAAGGGTTGGAAATTCCTCTTGGTTAATGTGTTCAGAGTTAACTGCTGCACTAATGCAAGTCTGCAGACGGTTTGAAACTAGAGTTGTAAGGGAGATGACTTGTCCCATTCATCTTAATCATAGCCTCAGGGCTTACACGATGCCCTGGAATTCAGTACTTTTGCTCTCTAGTTTTCCCCACAAGATTGAGATAATTAATGCTCTCTGTGCTGTTCCATGGAGCCACACAGCATGGATTATGGGGCCAGAGCTGGAACTACTACCTTTGCTGTGCAGGGGCAGCATCTGAGCTAGACAGTGGAACAGATGATGTACTGGTGAAGTGACAAGCTTCCCCCTTTCCTGGCACATGCTTTAAGGAGGGTAAGGGAGAAAGAGGAACTCTGTTTTGGGAAGTCTTTTGAACATGGCATGCCTGGACAGCCCTGTAGGAGTCCAAGTATAAGTTTACAGCATAAAGAAACAACTGATTTTTCATTGGTTTTCCCACCTCTGAACCATAGTTTGTGGGGGGCTTAAACAATGGGAAAGTGAAAATAAGAACTTTATTCTATGTGCTGTACAGTACAGGGGGTCCTGACCACATGCACGATAGCAAAATATCAAACCACTAATTTTATTTTTCTGCAGAAGACAAAGACCAATTCACTTGAGCTTTGACATTGATGCTTTTGATCCTTCACTGGCTCCAGCAACAGGGACACCTGTTTTAGGTGGATTAACATATCGGGAAGGCATGTACATTACGGAGGAAATACACAATACAGGTAGGAATCAACCAGCAGTGTTTGATTAAACCCAATTATCACACAAACCTCTTCACCAAGAGCTACTTCTATCTTTACAAGAAGTTATTTGCGACATGAACAGGTCACCTTAAACCAGATATGCATTTCAAGTTGCTTCTCTATAACCAGACTGATAGGACTAAGTAGTAAACTTTACCTCAATGATTTTGAAGGGGCATGGTACAGTAGATCACAATGCTATAGGTCCCTACTTTATTTAGCAATGAATAGATGGGGCCAGACTTTCAGAATTTGACATGCATGAATGACCAGTTTTACATCAATATTCCTTTTTTGCATAAGTGTGGTAACTGCATATTAAAAATGGTTAGACAACTATTTTGTACATACCCAGTTCTAAAAATCTGGCCCTCATCTTGCAAGTGATCCTAAAACCCAAGGTTCAAGCTTCCACTAGGGGGGGGAAAAAAAACTTAAAGAAGAATCCTATTGTGGTAGTCAGCCCTGACAATCCCCTGATCACTCTTGCTTCCATGAACGTGACTGAAATACTTGTTCTATCCCAGAACATCAGTCTTGCTAAAACAAGACTCTCAGCTCTGCACATTTAACAAGTTTTAAAGGTACCATATTGCTTTAGGGCTAGGATATCTAAAGTGAGGTATTAAATCCACTTAGTTAAACGGCTTATGTTTCTTAGGGATTATTACTGTTCCTTGTTCGACAATCTTAACTAACTCTCCATCTAGATGTGCTCGACAGATCTGGAGCAGTGTTGAACCTAGGCTTCAGCCTCAATATTAGGTGGACAAGGTAGCCAGTGCTATTTTACCAGACTAAGACCTCTGCTGTCTAACTGCCAGCCATTGAACTGAACCACTGATTCCCCTAGTTAAACTCCAATAGCATAACTGAAATTCAAGTAGCCACAGCTGGAGGAAGAGAAGCTGAACAAATCTTTTCCTCATTTTAAACTTCCACTTTTATGGTTGTAAGATGTTTTAGAATGTAAAGAGGCATTGCTTTCAAGTCTACAGCCAGAGATGTGCAGTACCTCTACTTCTAGACAGTTCTCACTGTTTGTTTCAGTGCTGTATAATCACTGTACTGCTGCTTGGGAAAGGTGGAGGTGGTACAGTTGCTGGTCAGAATGTAGAATAGTACTACCTCCAGTAACATGTGAGAGGCCCCAGGGGCCTCCCTGTTTGAAGAACCAAACAGGTTCAATATTCACATCTGCTAGCCCGAAGCAGCCTTTCAGCAAGAGCCACAGACAGCACTGTGGTTGGAATTCTAGCACTGGGGGATGGGCTTACCTTTCCCCAGGATGTTTTAAAGTGCAAGGTTGGGGATAGGAGCCTTGAGCTACTTGGTGACTAGTAGGATTCAAGCTGCCCTGGTTCTGGATGTGTCTCTTACTGGACTTCTGTTCCTGCTGTTTGATGGGCTGTTACTTTTTTCTTAGGATTGCTTTCAGCTGTGGACCTGGTTGAAGTAAACCCATTGCTTGGAGCCTCTCAGGAGGAAGTGAATGCTACAGCCAATCTTGCAGTGGATGTGCTAGCAACGTGCTTTGGGCACACAAGAGAAGGAGCACACACTGTTTTTGATGAACTCCCAACACCTAATTCACCAGATGAATCAGACAGTGAGGAGCAAGTGAGGATTTAGGACCCTCAGATGGTGGAAGACACTTCACATTGAGCATTCCAGGGCTCTGCTGAGGCATGTGAGTGGCTAGATTAATGGCCATGTCAAACACTTGGAGTGTTACTTTTTTTAAAGAGACTAGTTTTTTTCCATTTGACCAATAACTACTGTATGATGTATACGTTTTATTCATTTAGTCAATTAGAAATATGTAAATTTAGACAAGTAATAAAATAATTATTACTGTCTATTACCATTACTTCAGTCTTAGTCTGTGTTTTCTTTATAACCACCATGTCTTTCTAGAGTCAGTACCTGACAGCTCAACCAGAGAACTTCCAACTGGACTAGACATCTCATCCACTTCTGGCGCTACTGCCACCCAGTTTCTCACTTATGTCCATGCATAATCCTTGAGAAACAAAGGGGAACACCAATCTGGGCTGTGCAAGCTCAGCTCTTGCGGAAGAACTTGTAGTAGACCACACCTCCTAGGATGGCTAGTTCCAGGATGATGATGACAGACAGCAGCAACTTGTTAGTCATAACTCTAGAAAAAGAAAAGGGAGTTTAGGATCATGATGGCTAGGGCTGTTGAGAAATATGTAGGACTGTCCTACTACATATGCTCCAGTCTGGTTTAAAAACATTCTTTAAGCAAGCACTCCAGCTTAGATCCTACCACTGAAACTTAAGCAGCCAACAAGCTTTCTTTTGAGATAAAGTAACAGCTGACCTTTACGTCTTGTCATTAAACTTAGAGTACTTCTGTTGTGGAGAATTATCCACATAGTTCTCAAAGTAGGAAGAAGGGATTAAGCAGTGTTCTCTAACAGTTCTCTGGGACTTCTCTATTTCACTATTTGCAGTACTGCAGCTTTCTCTTTGCCCCCTCTCCACCCCAGCTTGTGGATATTTATCTAACTTTTTATTTCTCACTAAGAGACAAGACTATCCCATGTTCACTCAAGTCTGTTATTTCTTGGGAGTAGAGATCCCCACATAGGACTTAATGCCAAAACCACATTATTGTGCATTTATTTGAAACTGCAGAAGCCACTACTACTCAGTGTTTGGCCTCTGAACAGCAACCCATTTTACAAGAGTATCCTCTAATATCTTTTAATCAAAGACCATTTTGGCAGTCTTGCATTTAAGTGGATAATATCTATATATTCCAAGGCTAGAGGGGACCATTGTGATAAGCTAGGCTGCCTTGTATAACAGAAAGCCATAAAATTCCCCAACAATTCCCTTTTGAACTACAGCATACACTCCCACCTCTACCAATGCTTTCCCCAAAATATTCATTTGTTATTGTCACTAAAGTTCAGTTTACAGAGATGACTAAAGCAGGTCATCAAGAACTCCCACTGCATCAGAGGGTAACCACATTGTACTCTTTAGAAGAATTACTAGTGGCAAGCTAATTCAGAAGCAGGTTAAAAAGTTGACTTTCCCTTTTATGTTCATGAGACAACTTCAGCCCCCCAAAAAACCAGCCTAAAACCAAATCAGTAGGCTGTTTGGATCTCTACAAGCTTTGGTAAAAAAGTTAGTTTAAGAAAACTGGTCAATTTCAACATCAAAGAAAGTTAAGGGAATGTACTGAGGAGGCCACTTAACACTGGTGTTCTGCTCTAGACTAGAAGGTGAACAGCACAGACTGGTGCCAAGATGCATTATTTGTAATAAGCAAGTCCCAAGGATTCAAGAAGAGCCAATAAACTTAAGTAGTTAGGCACCATGTAAGTGCAAGGTAACACTATGAATTGATACTCAAGAACTAAGCAGCCATTGTTGATTGCTTCTGCTTAGTGAGCAGCCTTTTTAAGCTATCAAAAGCAAACAATGTGTTAGCAGGGGATAGAACAGGGACCATTCTATAAATGTATGGTGCACATTGCCCATGAATAGCTGTCAGCTTGTTCCTTTATCTCAAAAGGTGTTGAAAGAAGAGATTAATGGAATAGGGAAGACTATAGGGGAAAAGATTTTAAGACTAAGAAGCCTATTAAATGAACAATAGAGTGCCACTCAGGAACTCAAGTTTAACTATTCTAAAGGAAAAAGAAAAATAGGTAGTGAAAGTAAGGCACCGTAATTTCCACTTTGCATTTAACTGTGACACTGAGTACCTTTCCCAGACCTGAAGGAGCTCTTCGTAGCTCCAAAGCTTGTCTCTTGCCAACAGAAATTGGTCTAATGAAAGATTACCTCCCCCACCTTGTCTCTCTAATATTCCTCCATGAGCAGGTATTGAAAGATTCCACAACACTTAGAAAGGAGAGAGAGAGAGACTATAGCTCATTTATTTAGGCAAATTTCAGTTACATTCTGTTTACCTAAAATCCCCCAGCAGTTCCAGCTGTTATAGTATTTTAAATTTCCTTTGCTGTGTGCTGTAAAATTGCTGCACCATTCTATCAGAGGTGACTGTCTTTGGGTACTAGATGACAATTCCTGCACCGTAAGTAGTTTTCTGGTTGTATCCTACTTTGAGATTTAGAAGAAAGGCATAATTGTCTGGGATTGGTTATTAGTGGAGGCTAGCATTGCTTTAAAGTTTTAAAAGAAAGTAAATTCATCACACTACTCACCTTTTCGACATGGAACGCAGGATCTTACGGGTTTTGCTTAGGTTTTCGCTTGTGTTCACTAACTACAAAGAAAAAACATTAGTTTCCACTTATTCTGAAGTGAAATGTGAGGCACAAAGCCAAACCCTGTACTCTGACCCACAGTCTGCCAGCAGTTGGTTGAGGGTACAATGAATTAAGCAAACAAAAGATCTGGATTCAAGAAGAACCTTCCTGTAATCTTAATGCTCAGACACAGCATTGTTGCTCTAAGCATCACCTAGAAGATGGATCTCAGGTGAGGAACAGCTGCATTATACAGTAGGTTGCCTGTTGAGGTTCACTTGTGATTACTCAAGCCAGGGATGTCTCAAGTGTGGTCAATGCCCTCTCCAGGAGGAGAGAAAAGCAATAGTAGGATTTGTCTAAAATACTGATTTTAGTAAGTTGTCTGATATTTTCAATGGTGGTGTTCCAATTGTAACACCACCATTGAAAACTGAAGGATTTTTATTTTTTTAAAGGGGACCATCTAGTAATGAGCAGCAATGTATCATGTCAGATGCTATCTAACAGGGTCAGGGGGGGAGCTTACTCCCTCTTCCATATTATTAAAAATAAGCAAAGCATTAGTGAAATGAGGCAGCTACAATTTTGGGAATGGTAGTGCGAAAACAAATAAAAGGTTAGAGAAAGATTTAATACATGGGCAGAAAAGGAGATTAACTAATCTATTAGTTGAAAGTTAACATCTATTACAGCCTTTACACTATTCAGTCAACAAGCAGTTTCTAAATCACCTAGTAAGAAACAAGCAAAACAACTTAGGGTTAGATTTTTAAAAGCTATCACATTATAAACAATTCAGGTGCAAACCTGAGATTCATAACATGTGGTCATTACAGCTTTCAGTATAAAATTGTCAGCCCTGTTCCAGAAGTTCAAGGTGTGTGGGTGGGTGGAGATGGGTTGTGAGGGAAATCAGACCAGTTGTCCTTATTGAGTCAAACTAGGGTTTGTCTACACTAGCACTTCTATCAGTCTATTCACTTCTATCAGTGAAAAAAAAACCACACCCCTGACTGACGTAAGTTTCACAGACAAAAGTGCCGGTGGTGATAGCACTACAGTGGCAGGAGAGCATCTCCTGCCGCTCATTGGGGGTGGTTTAATTATGCCAGCAGGCAAGCTCTCTCCTGCCAGCATAGAGCAGCTACACAGGAGATCTTACATTGGCACAGCTGCTATAAGGTCCATAATGTAGACATTGCCTCAGAGCCACTTTAGAAGTGCATGCCACTTGCCCTCCATTTACATTCACAAGCACCCTTGGTAAATGGATCTATTTATGCCCAGGCTTTCAAAACCATACTCCTTACACCTAGTGCTTTCACAGAAATCAGGGTTTACAGATCATAAAGCAAACAAGCTGTGATTCCAGCTCATTGATGCCACCACTAGCACCTGTTATTTTTCCCCATGAGTAGAATTCACTCATTTCACATAAAACAATGATGACTCCTATGTAAAAAAGGATTTGTGATGGCAGATCTGTACCATTCTGCCTGCCAAGAGTCCCCACTTTGGGCACCTTTTTTATAAATGGTTGCAAATATCCCCTGCTCACAGCTCTGGGAGAGTCCACAAGTCCATTTAAAAACAGTTAAGGGCACATATGCAAAAAGAAAGTGAGCTTGTATTTATTACTATTTCAGTAGAGGGAACAGCATCCAGAAAGCACACTATAAATGCATAACTCCTTGAACGAGTTTAATAGGATGGTATATCCAAAGGACTACATTAACTCTTAGCTTCAGAAGAAAGTAGCTTTGACAGATGCAATGTTTTGGAAACAGAATATTTAGGTTATTGGATCAGCTGTATAAATGTTGTACATCTTTATAGGCTGGCTATTGATTGTATTCCTGGATGAATGGATGGTTCCTGCAGGAACTATAGTTAGAAGGTAGTGATGACTGTCAATTCCCAATGCTGAAGCAATTCAGGTAACAAGACTTTTGAAGTTTCGCCTCCCAGGAAATAGCCTATGCTGGTTTGACCTGATTCAAGAGACCCGCTGACAGAACTATACAGACAGCCCTACTCTGGGAGAGGGAGTCACTCACATTAAATCCAAGCTCTGATCTGGGACGACGGGTAAATGTACACTTTGAGCTAGAGGTCTGATTCCCAGCTTGAAGACCTTTGATTAAGCTATCATGCTAAAAATAGAAATGTAAGTGCTGCAATGCTGGATTCTATTCTTTCTTGTGCATCAATATATTGGTTTACCAGGTTTCCATTACTTGTGTGCAAATCTACTGAAGGCAACAGGATTGCAGAAATGCAGCCAAAGATCTAATGAAACTTCATTAGTGGTGATACTACTCAGAAATAACCAAAGCTCAACTGTGCACAGGCTTAGTTTGCAGAACTAGAGGTAAGAACACATCTTCGCTTGTTAAGTGAGCAAATTTGATACAGAGATCCTAGACACAATGACTGGATCAGAGTAGAACTGCACTTTGGTTCAGTCAGGGTTAGGATTAGGCTTCAGTGTTTAAAGTCTGACTTTTAGGTCAAGTTTATATAGTTTAAAACCACTATTAATAGTTTACATTATTAGTTGTTGGGCTAGTTCCTGCCTTAGCCCCAGGGAGCTGGAAGAGACCTCTTGCGTAATCTAGCCCATTTCATCCACATATTAAGTCAGGTTGAAAAAACGGATTTAGCCTCTTCCATTTGCATCACACTGTCAGGGTGACAAAATGACTAATGTTTAAACAGGATGCAGTCACTAGCACAGGACTCAAACCCAAACTGAAATGAACTCAAATTCCACTTCACAGTTTATTCCTTGTAACAAAGCGCTTTTTATGATGGAAATTTATGGGCTGCTAGGCTGAACAAATGGGGACAATTTTTTATTTGTCACCAGTCTACCGTCCTCCACCCTGATAACTCCTCCTCCTTCCCAGATGTCCATATCGCAGCTTGCATACCCAGGAAGTAAACATCTGATGGGAGCACCCAGATCTCCATCGATGTTACCATTCCCAATAGATTAATGCCAGGCTGTTATGTTACAGTGCCAACAGCTTTTACACTCACTCTGCTTTTGGTGCGTTCCAATTGCTCTCGCTGGTCCCCAAGTTCCTCGATTATCTCTGTACCTATCTGATCCGTCTCTGCAGCGATCTGGTGTGAACGGTCAATGCTCTGAGTGGCTCGGTTCAGGCTCTCTGTCCCCTGGAGAAGCAAGCCCCTCTGCGACTGCAAATGAGTCTAAAAAATAGGTTTTACTGTTTAGCTATTAAACAGGGGAGCAGAAACATACTGGCTTCTGATGGATTCTAGAATTGAGATGCATTGCTTTATAGACCATGCGTCTATAACGGTGACAAGGTCCTTTTAGGTTAATAGAAGCAGACAAATCAATGTTTGAAAATATATAGTATGTCAACTCTGTATTACGTAATATTAGCCCTTACTACAGATTAGAGATTTATCTGCAACATTTCTACAGAATAGGGAGGAAGCTAGAATTAAATATAACAAACTACAGTAAAAGGAGGAGGAAAGAGGACAAACTCACTACAAAGTTATAAGAGCCAAAAAACAGATTTAAAGACAGATTTCCTTTACATCCTTAACAACCACAACCATAAAATGCAAGTAAGTCACTGCTAGAGGCTGAAATATGGAGCAAGAGATGCTGTTCCATATTTAGGTTCATTTGATTTTCCCATCTTAAACTCAGTTGTGCCCCATTCCCTCAAAATCAGTAGACTAGGACTGGAGCAGAGAATTCAGGACTCTTCTTCACTACCATCTGTATCTGTTGTAATATAGGCTTGTTGCATATTACCACAAACTAGAACATTACAAAGAAATCTATCTCCAGTAAATGCAAAAACTGGGACTAAAGCATTGGTTCCCAAACTGGGGGTGTGTGAAGAAATTCCAAGGGGGGCGCGAGGCTGCCTGGCCCTTGAACTCCCTGCCAGGGAGGCTAGCCCCTGGCCCCTCCCCTCCAGTCCCACCTCCCTTGTAGTTACACCTCCATGCAGGCAGCATGGCTTGCGCCCGCCCACCTCCCAGACTTTCCAATAAGCCAGTCCTGCTGCTCTGAGCAGCCTGGTAAAGGGGCAGGAAGTGGGGGTTTGATAAGGGGCAGGAGGTCCTGGGGGGCAGTCAGGGAACAGGGAGCAGTTGGATGGGGCAGAGGTTCTGGCGGGGATGGTCAGGAGACAGGGAGCAGACGGGGGTTGGATAGGCGTGGGAATCCGGAGGGCCTGTCAGGGGTGTGGATAGAGGTCGGGGCAGTCAGGAGACAGGGAGCAGGGAGGGGGGTTGAACAGGAGGTGGGGTCCCAGGAGGGGGCGGTCAGGGGACAAGGATCGGGGGGGTTGGACGATGGTAAGGGGGGGGGGGCTTGAAGGTTTCTCAAAAATTAAAAAGGGGGCGTGATGCTGAAAAGTTTGGGAACCACTAGAGTAAAGGTACTCCAGCAGAGCAACTCAAGGATAGCAAATGTATTCTCTCTAGAAAACCTCTTTTGGAAACAAGAAATAAGATTTCCTGTGCCCTATCACTTGCATGATTTTAGGGACAAATAAATATCTACTCTAGGAAGCCAAGAAGAAACAAGCTGTAGTTAAATAGATAGAGGTCTGGGGTAGTTCACACACAATTAAACTACATTCAAAATAGGGTTAAAAGGATCATCTTAAACCTAGCAAGGACATGAAAAAGGAGTCAACTGAAGGGTTAATCTTAGAGCTACAGATGCGATCTGGGAAAGGTTTTAAAACATTCTGGTTAGAAATAAATGTCATATTTTCCTTCCTTTAATCTCATTTCCCTCTGCCACTAAGGGATCCTTACTTAAAAACAGGATCTTTGTTTTTATCTGCTCCTTTTATCCCTACCTTAAATCATTCCTTCATCTGCTGCATTCACAATTGGTTGCTGTGGAGATTTTTATGAGGTCACACAATCAGAGGATTTCATGGGAACAAGCAGCAGCAGATGGAATGCCTGGGCCACCAAAATCCTCTTTTCATGCAAATAAGTAACCCAAGTCACAGAATGAGAGAGGCTCACTGACCTTGGATCAGAACTGGCCCTCAGAATAGAATATTTTCCTAAACTTTGAAAAAGGCTTTACATCTACCATCCTGTACTAAGGTATTGTAAGGGAGGCAACAAATGCATCATGCTGCAATATCCAGACAAATCAAGGACAGCACCTCAGTTTTCAAAGTTTCCTGGCTTCTGTAGTTTTAGATCTGGTGAAAGATATCTCGAAGACTAAAGTAATCCAACCACAGGACAGGTGCAGGATGGACAGCACCACAAACTTCCCACACAGATCAATGTGCCTCAGAGCTTTAAGACTGGAGGGGATTTCAGTCTCTATAGTTCAGTCATACTTTGCCTTAACTGTCTACAGTACAAGAAATAAAACTAACAAATCTGGTACTTAAAAGTTTTGAATGGCCTGATCAATTTGCTACTTAAATAGATGGCTTCTTGCATGTACCTGGATTATTTAACAGAATTATTTTAAAACTAGCTTTACCATTGATCCTACATGGTGCATTTAAATATATACTTCATTCACCTTTGACAGTGAAATGAAATTGGTCATTTAATTTTTTTCCTGCACTATTACAGTTGTGTTTTCTGTGCTGTAAAGAATGTTTAAATAAAGTATTTTAGTATGTTTAATGAAAATCTATTTTTAGGTTTTTAAAAAAATATTGAGCCAAATGCTATTTGAGCATCTCTTAAAAAGCAAGTTTGTTATTTTGAGTTTATTCTTTCATTCTTACCAAGTTGACACATGCTTTTTTTTTTTTTTTTTAAAGTTGCAGGTACAATTTTCCTCTTATGCAAAATACTCCCTATTATCCAGGGTAGGTTTACAGCCAGGTTACATGCGCTCAGAAACTAAGGAGGGTAAGATAGAAACACTAGCTAGCACAGCTAGCTACATCTGAAGTCACTTTGTGTCACAATCGAGTTTTAAAATATAGTTAATATCTATTTGACACTCACACTCTGCTCATTTTCCATGGAATAGATTCCGTATTTTGTGTCCCCCCGACTTCCAGGGCCCAACCCCAAATCTGTGCTTTTAATCTCTCTCTGGAACATGGCAAGGTCTCTCTTGTAGGTCCGGATTCTGTTCATCATTTGGTTGCGGAAGGACACTGGGGCATATTTCAGTTCTTCTTCCATCTCCCGCAGCTTTGAAGAGAAAAAGTAGTTATAAAAGTACCACATTCATTCTACTAATATAGAAGGGTATTCAAACTATGCCCAACCCCAAGCTGTACTTGCAACTTGACAGGAGTCCAAGGGATGAACCTATTTTGTGAGGGAGAACATTGTAGTTGCCCGCATCTATTACAGAGGTGTAGCAGCACACAAATCTACAGGTCCCAGCAGCTGCTTGGCTCAAGATGGAGTGCTGCATACCAGGCCAGGAGTCTCCACAAGTCACACCTTCACATAAACATATGGGACAACCAGATTACATGATTCCACAGGCCACATTTTGTCCAACCCACAGCACAGGGTTCATACTGTGTTAAACAGTCTTCCCTCAAAAGAGTCCAAAAGTTAACAAGGTAAGTCCCAACAGTTTTGTAACAGTATCATAGATATTCTCTGAATTAAGATCTCAAGTTTATGATTTCATTTTTTGAGGTGAAAATATTTTGAAAAAGGTCGTACTTGTCAATATCGTGTCATCAGTACCTTCCATAATTGGATTGGTATTGTTACTCACCATCCCAATAAGAACAAGAGACTACTAAGACCTGGTATACATGTGTGCTCTGGTATAAGACATGGATTGGGGAATGATTCAATGAAAGAGACTAAAGCCAAAATTCTAACGTTGATTTTCTATATAACATTTTGATAGTTGTATTTTGTCCTTTTTCACATTATTTAAACAGTTTTAGGTTGGTGTCAGGTTTAGGTTAGGTTTCCAATCACATCTACACAAGCGGATAGGCCATCAACCAAACTTCCTGATCTGAACTCTGAGGGGTTCAGTAACATCTCTAAATAGGACGTGTGACTAAACCTGGGTGAATAACTGATTTTTCAGTTTGCTGGCAGTTCCGAAAAGTTGTTTGTTTGTTTTTTTAAAAAGAGGGGGAAGGCCTCAACCAGAAATTTTCTGGAATGTTGGGCAAATCAAAAAAGTCAACAAATTTCATTTCTGGTCAAACAAAATGCTTCATAAAAAAGTGTCCAGCTCTATTTTGAGCCGAGTGGGAGCATACAGATTTATGGATCTCTACACCAATAATCCTTTGATGGATCAGGAAAGAAAGGCAATTATTAGAGATTCATAGTTTAAGGCCAGAAAGGACCATTAGATCATCTTGTCTGACCTCTTGTATATCACATGCCATTTCATCCTGTTACCCAAAATTGAGCCCAATAACTTGTGTCTGGTTAAAGCATATCATCCAGAAAATCCTCCAGTCTTGATGTGAAGACATCAAGAGATGACAAATCCACCACTTCTTCTAGTAGTTTGATTTTCAAATATACTGTGTCATGTTTCAGAGGTTCAAACAAACATGGTTCTTAAAAACTACAAAAACCCAAATGATATATTATCACAAAATATACAGGGTCAAAAAGAAACTTCTGGATTGTCCTGTGATGGACAATGCACATCAAGGCTAATGTGAATGAAATATGCAATCCATATATCTAGTACAGTAAGTTATTTCACCAGTGTAACTGACCACCATGTCTGTAAAGCTATATGCTACAGTAAGTGAAGTTTAAAACATGTATGTGTTCCCATGGGAAGAACCAGGGAAGAGTACCGGGACATACGTGTATACTCAAAGAAATAAAATTTTAAAAGGTAACCATTACATAATTATGGAGCAGAAATGTTAAGCCTATAGTGTTATGTGTTTGGGGGTTTTTTAGGTGTAAAGACATTTTTGCGTTGTTTACCTCTTCCGTTGCCCCAATAATCCTGTATCGCAATGTTCTTCTTTGAATGGCTCTGCATATTCACACTTATGGGTATTGTGCTACCTGGTGCTACCTAATAGTAGAATCTTCTCCAAGCAGTGCCCATTAAGAGTGCACATGCACCCTCTTCTACCCCCTTCTCAGCATTTCCAAACGTTCTCAGGGCGAGGCTATATAAGGGGCACAGCACCCTCTACCACTTCAATTCCTGCCAGCTATTGTGCCAGACAGAAGTGAACCACTCCAATCCATCTTGGATCCAGGGTTTTCTCCACTGTAGTGCCAGATAACAACGTAAAGAATTAAGTGTAATTTTTAGTATAGTAATAAATTTAGATAGTTTAGTATAGTTGGTGAGATTCAGTTCCCTGTAATAGCCGAACCGAAGAAAAAGCAAAAGTCAAGATTTAAGAGGTATGCTGGTGCCCAACTATCTTCCTGGAGACAGTGTGATGCACCCTGGAGTACCCAGTCTTGTAAGGCACCGCACCGCTACCTCCCCTTAGAGCTGGGGTTTTCACAACAAAAGTTTTGGTGGCCTCAGAGTGCGGTCACCAACTCTTGCTTGTGGCCAGTCTGACAAATTTTCCTAAAATACTTAATTAACTTTAGGAAAAACAAATAAATATGCACACACAAATTACAATGATTTGGAAATGTATTTGTTTTGGGTTTTTTTTTTTGCAGACTCAATTAAAAAACTCCAGGCTCCCCATCACCCCCTCTGCTCCCCTACATTGCCCGAGCTCCCTTCTGCAGTGTCACACCACAGGCTCACCCTGCTCCTTGCCTCTTGACCACCATGGTGTCCAGTAAGGCCGGTCCAGCTAAAGCCCAGAGCTAGACCCCTATGGCTGGGGGTGGGGGGGGGAGGCTGAAAACTGGAGCCCCACCACCCCACGGCGTGGAAGCCTGGAGCCCCACAGCTAAAGCACCAAGCCTGTTGCTAGAGCCCCAAGGCTGAAGGGGAGTTAAGCCCACCCCCTTAGCCCCACTGCTTTGTCCCCTCCCCCATCTCTGCCCAGGAGGCTGTCGTGACTGCAGGAAAAGCCTCTGGGGGCACATGTGACCACATTTGAGAAACGTTTCCTTAGAGCAAAGGAGTCTTGTCTGTGCTTGCTGTGGATCAGCTCCCTGAAATCAATAGCTCTGGCAGCACAAGCACTACCTTCCAGGCCTCCACAGTCTTTGCTCTCTCTGTGTAGGTAGTGATAGGTATATACCAACCCACCCCAACTCCCACGAGTTCTTACAGCACTCCCTGCCCCTTACCCACTGCACACTCAGAATTACCAGGTTCTGTTACCAAACAGCAGTACACATCAGCTTGTAAGTTTCAACTCAGGACAAGCACCTCGCTTAACATCACAGCACTTAGGTATATTTAAATGAAAACAAGAATAAGTGATAGTAAGAAAGGATATTGGAAACAAATGATTACATACAAAACAAAATCATAACATGCTTTCTAAAGATTAAACTTACCTAACAGGTTAAAGAAGTTTATTTCACCCAAAATCTTCTGTAGTGTTTTCAGCCAAGGCTGGCTGAGACCCCACTTTCATGACTGCAGACAAGCCATCCATTTACTTATTCCTAGGTGCAGGATACCAGAGAGTTTTCTTGCCTTCTAGAACTAAATGGACATCCATTGTGTTAGCTCACAATGTTTAATTTACATCCTGAAAGAGATGCATATATCTTGCCTCCTGTCTGGAGAAACCAGTCTAAGGCATGTCACCTTTTGGTGACCTGCTTTTACCTTAAATGCTTAAGAACATAGTTTTCTGGAACAGATGCATAACTCCTTGCACAGTACACGCACATACATTTCAGAGTGATATTGATGACCAGTGACACTGGCTTTCATTTGAGACCTCACACGAGATTCTTTGGTGAACTAGAATCTACATACCAGAATTCAGAGACTCCTGTAACCCCTCTGTATCCCTCTTTTAACTGACACAAAGATGTTTTTGAGTCACAGGTGGACGACCATCTTAGGTATCTGAAGGGTCTGGGGGAAGGCTGCTCTCCTTCCGGATATTCTGTTTGCCAGGCTTTCATGTCCAGAGTGCATAAAGTGAAGCAGAATAGACTACAGCTACTACTGCTTAAAGAAGCTCTTGCTGGTAAACCTTCTGGTTCCAGATGGTTGTCAGATCAGAAATCTAAAACCGGTTCAGCTCCTCCAGCAACTCAGAACTGTGTACAGGTTCCAGGATTTTGGGATCAGCTCTAGATTTATCTATTAAAACCATCAAGACTTTGAAGGCACTCTTGGTGGGAAAAGGTCAGCTGCCTTCCAAGAAACCTAGAGCCACCGTAGCGGCTATATTAGTTCCAAAAATGAAGGCAAGGGAGAAGACAGCCATTCTTAGCGGTGCCAGATCCCATGCATCACGCCTATTGGAGCAGTCCAAGTCTGACATTGGCTTCAGTGGTTCCGACCCTTAAACTTAAATCAGCTCTAGTTCTGACTGAACATCAGAGGCATGGATCTGAGAATTTCTCTGGATCAGGTACTCTCCACGTTGGTGGGACTGGCTCCTTCCTCTGCTCCTGTTCTGAGACTGCCCTTGGATCCAAAGACAATTTTTTCTGTGGTGGCTGATGTGCACCTTCCCCATTCTGAGCATTCCACGAATCCGAGTTATGGATAATTGGCAAATAGGCTTTACAAGTTCTGCAGTTGGATTCCTCTTCTCAGTTAAAGAAAAGAACACAGATGATTAGTGTCTCTCCAAATCAATCCATACCTCCTCCTAAGACTTCTACAAGGTCGCCACACAGATTTTTCCTCATCTTTTATTTTTCACCATCCTCTAGGTCCATTGTTGTCTCCTATAAGGTCCATAGCGGATCCGAGGTCTGATCCTCATTTAGAGAGAGAAGAATTAAGAGACTTGATTTGCTCATGCCTTCTCAGCCTGGGTTCCCGCACTCATTTGCTTCTCTTATGGTTATGTTTCCAGATCCCAGCTACTGGCAGTCCTGGATTCTATGGCCTTATTGGGCTCCACCACAGGAATGCTTCAATCATCCTTCTTATGAATGGAAAGGCAATGTCCCGTCTGAGAAAGATTTGATATCTGGACAATCCTTGGATCTGATTCCACCACATCCGCCTGCAAATCAGGCCGTTGTGCCTGACACTTTCTTATTTCAGCCACTCCTCAGGGTCCTCCGTCTCTTCAGGTAGTAGGGCGCTGGTCTGCTTAGCTGCTGATCCACAG